CCAGGCTGAGGCCCGCAGGTCTAAGACCAAGGAGGCGCGTAAGCGCCGTGAAGAGCGGCTCCAGGCCAAGAAGGAGGAAATCATCAAGACTCTGTCCAAGGAGGAAGAGACCAAGAAATAAAGTTCCCCCTCTCTTGTCTGTACATAGTGGCCTCAGGAGTTACATAAATCCATCACTCAATAAAACAAGCTGTCCTGCCTCTGCTGCTTCCACAGCTTCTGGGTCGTTGGTGGTCTTCATCTTCACGATGTAGTGGGCCAGAGCTGAGCGCACCCTGGGGCCTGGGGTGCAGGCCCTTCCCAGGGTACAGGCCCTTCCCAGGGTGCCTGTTCCATTTCTTCCTGTCAGGCTCCTACCCCTCTGTACATGGGAGATGTTTTTACCTTGTTTTAGTGGGGGGTGCAGTCTGAAGGGATGGTTTCTACCCACGCCTCCAAATAACTGTGCTTGCCCAGAAGTGATCTCAAATGTGGGTTGAAAACCAGTGGTCACTTTTGCCATCAGGTATATCATTGCTTAGAAAGCAACAGAAAATAGCATGCTTGTACTTCCCAACTGTGCACTGAAGTCCAAGGTTGAAATCTGTCCCATGACTCCAGGATGCTCATGGTTTCCAGCCAGTCGAGAAGCTGTGACATGCACAACCACTGGCTGCTTAGTGAAGCCGTCTGAACAGCATAATTCAGGTTGAGTAAGATGTTCTGAGCATTCCGGTTTGTAAACCTTTTTTCTTAAGAGTGGTGGGTTTGGAGGTGTTTTGGGGTTTATAACAGAACAAAGGAAAAGGTTTTTCTTGGCAAAAACAGGTTAAGGGGGTATAACATGAAAGCTTGTCACAGTCATTCTGAGTTGCTTAATGAATTTGTATCCCCTCTGCCAGTAAATTTGTCAGTGAAGTAATATGCTCTGTAAGCCAAGAACTGTTAGACACTTCACATTGATATACTAATCTTCCCAAGAGTATAGAGTTACCTCCATTTTGCAGGTAGGAAGCAGGTGAAGTGGCAGGCTGGATTCACACAGCCTGAACCAACGTGGGCGTGGGGAGAGGGATTCAAGATGTTCAGGAAGTAAAACAGGACAGTAGACATTGGGGAGGCTGAGCTTTGGAGGGCTGGGCAGATGTGTTTGGTAATGAGAAGGCACCAATTGGGGAGAATGTCTAGAAGAGGTGATTTGGGATATATTGAGTGGGTGCAAGTTTGAGGGACAGGTGTACAGGCGGAAGGAGTCGGTCAGTCAAATGCAGGAGTGTCAAGTGAGAGGTCTGGGATGTGAAGGAAAGTTGGGTAGATGGCTACCACCTCTAGTATTGGACACAGCTAGGACTGGCATGTTCACCTCCCTTCACTCTGCCCTCCACCCTTACCCTTTTGAGGAACTCGTTTTGGGGGTAGTAATAAAAGGCCAATCAGGGTCCTTCAGGGTATGGGCTGGGCAGATGTTCCCATTTGCACATGCGTGGGAAAGGCAGGCTGGAGTGGTCTTGGGGGCAGCGGACTCCTCCAGCTCTGCCTTTAGTGTCCTCGACCAGTCTGGACAGGGTGGGGGAACTGGGAAACAAAGGTAGGGAAGCCCAGACTCAGAAATGTCCAGAGGCCTGAACCTCCAGCACCACCACCAAGCACATCAGCCTGGGATGAGAGGACACTGATCTTTGGGTTCCCTGTTGCCACTGTAGCAGCCTGTGTGCACTTTATCCTTTAGCTCTTGCTCTAATGCTTGGCCAATTCCAAGGAAGCCGTGGCCCAGAAGGGGAAGGGCCTTGGCCGGCTCCCTAGACCTGGACCAGAGGACAAAGGGCATTGAAAGCCACCCCATCTCCACCCCTAACCCCTTCAGTCAGAGGGAGAGCAGGAAGAAGCTAACCCAAGCCTGGGACCCCCACCAGGATTCATGAGGGTGCAGCTCACAAACCCGTTTCCACTCTGAACCAGGAGATGGCGCTGTTCTCTCGCAGGTCCCTGCAGGTGTCCGCTGCCTCACTTCGTGGGGTGTGTGTGGGAGGGGTTGTGGGTTGTTGGAGCCTATCTCAGGGGACACGTTGGACTTCGTCACTTTCTGAAGCTCACCCCAGGCCTGCAGATTACTTCTTTCCACTGTGGGCTTCCAACCCTTTCCCAGGGGAATGCCTGGGAGTGCCCCCTTAAGCAGGCAGATCCCCTAGTATAAACTGCCAGATCTCTTCCAGGTCCGGGACTCTTGTGAAATTCTGATGGGAAGATAGATACATTCTTTCAAGAACATACAGCTGGGCCCATCATACAATTCTGCATGCTTTTTAAAGGGATCCATGGCCCCCAGATAAAGAATGAGCAAGTCCAACTCCTCTGGAGGAGGCAGCTGAGGCCAGGAGGGGCCAGTGACTACCCAGAATCCCCAGTGTTGCATGAATGTTAGCATCCGCCTTGGATTCCTCTAGACGTGGGAGGGTGTGACTCAGAGAGGGCTGTAGTTGAGGTGCTGAGCAGAACTGTCTCCGGCTGCAGGGCCCTGAGCTAGAGAAGGGGGATAATAGGGTCCTTGGCCTCCTTCCCCCGTGCTCTCTCTGAGGCTCAGAGTGGGACCATCTAGGCTGGCTTCCGGAAGGAAAAGGAGGGCAGGCTGAGGCTAGAAGTATTGCTGCCTTCCTTGCACTCCTCAGCAGGTGCCCCCAGCCTGTCCCAAGCACTGGGGCAGTGGTGTGTGTGCATGTGTGCGTGTGAAGGATCAGGGGTAAGGAAGGCTGAAGGGGCCAAAGGGAGTGGTACTAGCAAGATGGTGGAGTTGCACAGAGGAGCTCACCCCATCTTTGTCTCCCCGCCCCCGGACCTCTGGTATCCATCTCTGTCCTTTTAGGACTCCCATTTCCAGCTCCCAGACTCTCCCTTTTTGCATCTCCCCTAAGCCTAGATAACCTTTATCCCCACACAGTACTAGTCAGGTTAAGCTCAGGCTGAGACGAAGGGGTGGAGGGCACGTGTGGGTCAGAAGACAGAGCCAAATGGTGGGTTGGCACCACCAGCAGGTTCCTGGGCATCCTCTGCCTTGGGCCAATGGTGTTGCTGGTCCAGCCACCCCCAGAATGTGCACAGAGTCGGGCAGAGGCTATGGTGGGGGCAGCAGCTGTTCCCAGCCTCCAGGTTGTGAGCATGCTGTTAGTGGTTCAGCCACCCGAAAAAGCTGCTGTGCTCGGCAGCGCGGCAAATGGGCTGGGGAGGAGGCGGGGTCCAGGCCAGCTGCCTGCCGGTGGCAGACACAAGTGGGATGTGCCGAAGGCTTGACTAAAGAGCACCCACTGTGTCCACTGGATGGGGGCTTGATCCCTACAGCCCTTGGCCCAGCATCTCAAGGCACTGAGGGACCCAGCGTAGAGTGAGGGAAGAACTGAAATGGAAAGCAAGAGACGATTTCTGAGACGGGCTTGACCACTGATTTACTGGGTGACCTTGAACGAATTATAGTCCACCCTGGGCCTCAGTTTCCCCATGTTGAAAAGGGGCAAGGTTGGGCTGGATAATCTGTATGACCTTGGGTAAGCCACCTAATATGCCTCAGTTTCGGCATGTGTGGAAAGGCGACACCACCACTTCCCTCACTGGGTCATTAACAGGACTAAATACATTTCCTGGCACAGGACTAAATAAACACATTCCGGTCTACCTTGCTATGGGAGTGGGGGTGCTGGAAGGCAGATCCGGGTGGGTGCCTATCAGGAGGGGCAGGCCCCCTCCCCTCGGCATTCTGGCAGCCCCGGCGTCGCCCTGGCACCCCCGCAGCCGCCTCTCCCTCCCTCCTGACTCCCCTCTGCCTATAAATAGCACAGGACGTGCTCAGCGTGGCTATGACGCGGCTGGGCGGGCGGAGGGGAAGAGGCATCTCTGCCGGAGCAGGTGGGCGGCGGGCACCGCTGCGGGAGGGGCGCCGCCGCCGGCCCCCTTCTTGCCAGGCTCCCGATGACGTCCGTGAGTGAGTCATCTCAGGCAGGGCCGCACTGTCTGCGACTGTCCCCGCCGCCAGCGATCCTGCCTCGGTCTTGTGGGCTGCGGGCCGAGGCCGATCTCGGGTGGATATTGAGCTCCCCGGGCTCGTCTGTTCTCGGAGGGCACCGCTGGGTAGGCAGAAACGGCCTTGGCGCGCGGAGGTGTGTGTCCAGGGCCTGAGGGACCCAGGTGCCCGTCGAACGGCAGTGACCACAGCCCCACCCTCTCTCCCTCCGACCCCTCCCGCCTTTCCTCGGGTCCTTCCCACATCATTCGCCCCTTTTGACTCCCCCCAGCCCTCTCTCCCAAACAGCTCCCCAAACCCCCCATCTCAGGCTGCTCGCAGGGAGGGAGTGAGGAGGCCTGCGGACCCCTGTGCTGCCAGGGCCAGCACCACACCCCTTCTCTCCGAGTTCAACAAATTCTTTCACCCTCAGGCTTGTCCCTTCTCAGCGCCTCCAGCTCCCACCCCGTTACTTGCCTCTTTCCCTCCTCTCCCAAGCAGATACACAGAGCAGACAGGTTGGGACAAGAAATATTTAATCGGGGGTCTGGGAGCTCAGCAATGCCCCAGGAGACGCATCATGCAGCCTCATGTACAGTGGGCATTGGGCCCACCCCTGGGATAGTGCTTAGGGGGAGGGCCTCATGGCAGCAAACAGGGCAGTATGGCTACAGCCCCCCTCTGCAAGAGAGAAATGGGGCAGGGCCATTGGGTAGGAGAGTGTGACTGTGCCCAGGATGGGAGGTGGCATTGGCTGGCAGGATCAAGGGCACAAGAGGAGGCTCTGAGCTTGTGGGGAAGGAGATTGGCACCAGAGAAAAGCAACCTACAAGGGAGGGAGGGGTACTGTTCATGTGTGCTCACCGCACCCCCAGTGCCCACCCCTTCCCCCTTCCTGTCCTGGTGGCCAAACAGAATGATCCACCTTCCTTGTCTATCTCCCACTCCCTCCTCCTCCCCATGGCTTTGTGTCCAGGACAATCAAACATACAGCCAGAAAGGGGACCCCTTCAACAGCAGCCCTGGTCCCTGCAGAGTCCAAAGCAGGAGTAAGGAAGGTTCAGTCCCGAGGGTGTGGCTCCTGGGGCTAGCCTGACGGGGCCTGGGACAGGGGCTGAGAATCACAGACTTCCCTGGCCAGGTGCATCTGCCACTGCAGGCTTTCAGAGTCCTGACAGGGAAACGGGGATTGTTTGGACCAAGCATGGGCCGGTTTTTTGTTCTCAGTTGGGTTGATGTGTTCAGGCTGCTCTTGGGTGTCCTCTTCCAGAGACAAGGTTAGGATGAGGCTGCCCTGTAGTGACAGTTCTACTTGAGATAGTCTCTGATTTGCTACCCCCTCCTCTGACCTCAGCCCTCCCCTCCTCTGTCCACCAGGTTTCAAGTAATGGGAGAGATTCCCACAGAACTTTCCTGAGAATTGATGAGTGACAGAGGCAGTGAGACCAGAAGGTGGACTCGGGATCCTCTTGCAGTCCTGAATCCCCTCCCAGCCTAGGGCAGAGGGCTGAGGGAACTGGGAAGGCACCTTCCTGAGGCCCCACTTCCAAAGGGGTGCTGCATGGTCACACACGCAGACTCAAGCAGAGGCCCTATGGGGAGAGGGGAGGTGTCAGGCATGCAAAGGTGGTATGGGTGTGGGAAGGCTCTCTGGGCGAAGCGGCAGGGAAGCAGTCCAGGAACTGCCCCCCAGCTCTGGCAACTGGACTGGGGGTGTCTGGACACTGAGTGGACCTACCTGGACTTCCCCATTCCCTCCCACCTTCTCTTCCTCTCCCAACCCCAAGTTTCAGAGGAGACACCTCCCAGGGCCCTCTGGGGCCCAAGAAATAAACCCTTCCTCAGTACAGAAGGCTCTGAAGCCATGGTGAGTGGCCCCCAGGAGAGAAGCAGAGGGAAAGTGTGGGCAGATGCCTGCTCCCCTCTGGGGCCAGAAGCAAGGGCCAGGCAGGGGGCAGGGATGGTGTCTGGATTCTCTTGGCTCCTCTCAGATCTCGGTCAGAGCATCGGCTGGCACCAGACCCCGCTTCTTGCCACTGCTGACGCGGATGAAGCCGTCAGCATCCTTGCTCCTGCCCACGCCCACACAGATCTGAGCGGAAGAGACAGCGAGCTGAGACTGGCACTGTCTGCAGCCCGGGGCCCAAGCCCTGCTGATGGCTCCCAGGGGGCCCACCCAAGGGATGACGGGCCCAGCATCGGATGTAGTTGTCCCAGCTGGGGTGATGGGAGCAGACCCCATGAGGGTACAGGGCACTGCAGCAAGACCAGGACATTGGCTGACACAGAGCAGCACTTCAGGGCTGACCTTTGAGATCAGCTGGTCTAATGCCCACGCCGAACTGAACTCCATTTCCCAGATGCGGAAACAGGGGGGAAAGGATTAGCCCGAGGTCATACAATCAGCAGGAGGCAGAGCCAGCATCCAAACTATGCTTCTAGACTCTTAATCCAGTGCTCCTCCCTCCCCTAAGCTGTCTCTAACGTTATTCAGCCTCCTGCCTATGGTGGCTCCAATTCCCAGCAGGGGGTGAATGGAGAGCCCTGTAGTCCCACCGCTTCTAACCTGCCTCCCCTCCTGCTGCCAGGCTGCAAGTCCGCTCCTTAGGGGATCACCCGTGCCCCTGCCACTTCTCTCCCATGCCCACCTCTCCAGCCATCGCAGGGCCCAGACTCACCTGGTTCTCCTTGAGACTCATGTAGCCCTGTTCTTTGTTCCCAGAGAAAGGTTGGCAGCAGCGCCAAACATTCTCACCTGGCCTCACCCGCTGCACAAAATTAGCTGGGAAGAATCCAACCCGGTCGCCAATCTTGCCCTGGAGATGAGGCTGGCAATAAGCACCAGTGCCCTCCCTCTCCCCCTACTGCTTTCCCTCAGTGTAGTGCCCACTCAGATCCAATGCCATCATCCTGCAGAGCCTGGGCTCTGTATTCATGCCTCCAGGAGGGTGGCTTCTGGGCTAGAGGGACAAGGTGGGCAGAGGGACAAGGCTGAGGCAGGAAGGGTCAAGTGAGAGTGAGGCCCAGGGCTGGTCTCAGGCTGGCTAGGGCTGATAGCTGGAGGAGGGGAGGTCTTCGGGGCCTGGAGAGAAGGCGGGGCAGGGCCAGCTGCAGGTGGGGGCTGGTGTGGCGTCTACCATGGTCCCTCCATTGCCCACCCTGCCAAGTCACCTTCCACCAGTCCTCGTTAGAGTCATCCACCAGCATGATTCGATCTCCAGGCCTGGGAGGAGAGAGCTGGGGTAACATGAGGGCAGGAGGGACCTGCTCTCTCCAAGTCCCAATAGCCCTGGCCCCCAGGTCCCTTGCATGAGCCCCCTCAGCTACAAGAGTATTCTTGATGCCCCTGGAGGACACCGTGTAACCCCTGGTCCAGCAGACACTCTCCCGGGCAGGGGGCAGGAGACATGACATCAGCACCAATCCCTCCTGGACTCAGGGCAGCTCCGGCTCCTCTCTGGGCTCAGCTGCCTCAAGCATGCCAGGAGAAGGTTTCTGAAGATACCCCTCTCACTTATGTTCCAAGGTCTAGGAGTGCACAGCCCTGAGGTTGGAGACAGGCAGCTGCCTTGTGGGGCTGGTCCACAAAGAGAACTTACTGCAGAGCCAGATCATTGTTCTCCTGGGGCAGGAACTTGTAGAGTGCGACATAGGAGTACATGGGCCCCACATCTTTCCGCAGGTGGGGCTTGAGGGGCTGTGGGAAAGCTCTGGGTCAGTGATGGGAGGGCAACATCCTCCTCTCCACCCACTATCCACTTGCCCTGACCTTGCCTATCCTGGGCGAGCTAAGAGGTGGGACATGGTGCTCTTGGGTCAATGATAGGGAGAGGTTAGACTCTCTGATCAGCTATGCTCACCTACCCCTGGGGGGACTGGGCCAGGGAAGGACCAGGGGGATACTCCTCTGCTTGCTGCCTCCTGGAACCACCCACCCCTGGGGGAGCCAGAGCAGCTGCAGGAGGCGTTGGGTCAGTGCTGGCAGATGCATCTGTCTTCCACGCCTACTCAGGCTGGCATTGCCCACCCCTGCAGACTGAGATAAATGACGGAGCAGCGATCCTCCCATTCACCATGCTCTCACCTGCCCATGGATCAAGGACAGGGAGAAGCATCATCCCTTTCCCACCTGGCCTGCTGGAGCTCAGGGCCAGCATAGCCTCACCTGCAGTCCAGGGCTCTTCTCCTCTGGTCCTGACCCTTCGCTCTCAGTCGGGGCTGTGAATACTGGAGATGCCAGGGGCGGCCAGGTGTGAGGCAGCAGGGCAGCCTGCACTGCCCTCCAGTCCTGGCCCTGGTCCCCACACCCACTCACCACTGTCACCAGGGCCCTCCTCTGAGCTGCGGATGCTGCCTTCCCCATCCTCGGTCAGCTCATCCCGCTCGCTCTGGGAAGAGAGAGGTGGGAGGCCTTGGCCCCTGGGCCTTCACCCTCACAGACCACTGCCCCCGAGGCCCCCCTTTGGTGCCTGCCATACCAGACTTCGTGTGGGGGACTCAGAGGTGCTGCTGAAGCTGGAGCGGTTCATCAGTGCCAAGGAGGTGCCATAGCGCAGGGTCTCGTAGATGGGGTCCACTTTCCCACTGGCCCCTGCCAAGATCCACCCTCAAGGCCAGGCACCCAGTTGCCAGCCTCACTGTGCCCTGTAACCCAGTATCTCCAGGGCTAAGCATGCCCTAGGCTGAACTCACATCTCCCCATCACCTGCATCCCAGCGAGGGCTCCATGCGCTCTCATGGTGCCCAGGCAGAAACCTGCTCATCTCTGCCCATACTGACCCCGGCACCTTGTCCTACCCAAATACTTCTAGAACCTGCCCACTTCTCACCATCTCCACTGCTACCAGCCTGGCAGCTACCAAACTTGCCCTTGGCAACTGTCACAGCCCCCCAACTAGTCTCCCTGCTTCCACTCCAGCTCCTCAATCCACGTAGCAGTCAGAAATGCCCTTGGAAAAACACAAAAATGCCTTTGGAATGAAGTCCAAAGAACAGTCCTAAAATGGACCCCACGACCTTGCATCCATGGTCCTGTCACACCTCTCACACTCACTGCCTCGACCCCAGCTCCATTGTCAGGCCCCCCTCTTCCCACACCAGCCTCCCCCAACTCCACAGGGGACTAACTTCCATCCTGCACATCTCTAGGACAACCTCCCTGTCTCGGCAGGTGCAGACAGTGCTGCTTTATCCTTATTCCCCAGCCTTCTCATTTCAGGCATTTGTCTGAATGGGGATTAATTGGCGATTTGTGTGATTATCCCTCTCTCGTCCAGCCCCTTGCTAGATCATGAACTCCACCCTCTTCAGTGCTATGTCTTTGTATCTAGCACAGTGCCTGGCACTTAGTAGGTGCTCAATAATGTGTTTATTAAAGGATGAATGAGTGAATGAGCCCTACTTTGAGGACAGGAGCATCCAGAGAAGGGAAGCAGTAACAGAGCCATGTGACTCAGGTGCCCATCTGAAGAATATGTGGGTTTTCTCATTGCACCACAGTGGGATTGGGGGCAACAGTTGCAGGGGGGCACTCACCAGTGGGTGGGGACTCTCTGCTTGTGGCACAGGCTGGTGGTGGCTCATGCACCAGGAGGGGGGAGCTGAAGTTGCGGCGGAAGGAGGAGGACTGTGGCAAGAGGGGACAGAGGGAAGGACATGAAGAGGTCATAGACCACCAAGAGCTGGCCTTCCCCAAGCAAGGACCAGGAGAAACCAGTCTTGAGGGGCACTCATTACCCCACATGCCAGTCCTGGGGGCTCTTACAGCCAGCTGTTTCCATGTGGTCCCCACTCACCGTCTTGCCTGCGCATTGCTGATGGGAGATTTCCTCAGAGCACCAGAGGTGGACGCTGACTTTGCACGTCTTACACCGCAAGCCCTGCTTGGAGTTTCCTGGCAAGGAGCGAAGGGGGCCGCTGAGGGTGTGCAGAGAGCAGGGTTTGGGCATCCCCATGCCAGCCTTGGAGCCCAGTGCCCATACCTTTCACAGAGTCAGGGTGTGAACTGGCACCACAGCCGGGATAGTTAGTAAACACAGTGACACTGGGCAAACACCCACCCAAGAGTGCTCACCTGTCCTCCCGGGGTGAGGGGCACAGTTAGGACTGGGGTCCTTGAGTAGCAAGACCCCAATGTAAGAGCAGTTCCCTGGGCCCACTACCCACACCCAGGCAGGCCCTCCCCTTGTCACCTCAGGGCCTTAGGCACCTACCCACAATGAGTTGGTGGCAGAGCTCACAGGGATTGGCTCGCTTGAAGACATGTTCCTGGAAGCTGTGCAGCCTCACTGGTTTGAGGGGCGCCAGGGGGCGTGGGACTGGGCAGGGGGAGGGGGTTGAGGTGGGTAGGCCCCAGTCTGTAGATGCCGGTGGTGGGGATGGAGGAGGCAGTGGGGTTGGGGGCGTCAGCAGCACCTCGGTGGGGCACTTGAGCTCAGAGCCTGAGCGAAGGAGGAAGTTCTCCACACTCTTACTTCGAAGGATGGTCTTGAGGGAAAGTGAGCGCTTGAACTTCTGGAGCTGAGGGGAAGAGGAGCTATAAGTGAAGCCCAGAGGGGGCTGGCTCCCCATCAGGTTACCTCCTTGGGCAGCTGCAGCATGAAGGCTGAGGACCAGAGGCAAAGTACTAAGAGAGAGGCTGCCAAGTCCCACACTCCTGGGAGAGCCAGGCAAGGAACCTCTAAGAGCAAAGGGGTTCTGGCTGGGTGGGCACAATAAGGAGTGGTGAGGACTGTGGCAAACTGGATGGCCAGGGAGCAGCTGCTGGTCATTCCTAGGCAATTGAGGCTCGCCTGTGTGGCCTGCCTAGTATTGCCGGATTTTCCAATTTTTCAAAAAGAAATCTAGACTTTTATGTGGATAGCAACAAACTCAAGGAGTCTTATTCTTTATTTCTTTGCAGAAATGTATACTATTTTTCTTGCACCTTGCTTTTTTCAGTTAACAGTAAACCTTAGAAATCATTCCATACCTATAATAAAGAGTTTCATCATTCTTTTTTATGAGTATACAGAATTTCATTGTATGGGTGTATCATTTACTCCAGCTAAAAGAATTACTTTGGCACCAAATGAAATACACCAGGTCCTCAGTTTTCTACCTGTGTTCTTGAACAGGAGTGGGGGAGTGGTCATCCTGGACCTTCCTCCTCAGGGTTAATTGCCCCCCAAGAGCTCTCACCAGTCCATGCCCTATAGCCACCTCATGGCCTCCCCTTCCCTGCCTCAGCTCAGGTCCCTGCATGCCCCAGCCTGGTTCAAGGCCACAGCCCCTTGCCTCTGCTCTGCCCACTCCTACCTGCTCTGCGTACTGCGGCCAGGGTGGTCCTCCTGACCCTGCCAGGAACCTCTCACGGCTCCTGAGGACACACCCAAGTCTTTGGCACCAGTCACAAGGCTGCAACTTGGCCAAACCTGCCCTTCCAACCTATGCCTTCCACCTAGTTTCAGGCAGGGAGACATGGCACCTGTGTGCCATGGCTGCCAGCCTCACCACCATGCCAAGAGGATGGAAGTGGTGGCCCCTCCAGCCTCAGGGAGGCCAGCAGGCAGCAAGACAGAGGCGGAAGCAGAGAGGGAACTGTTCAGGCACAGGCAGGCCCCAGTGTGCCAGCTGGGAGACCAGAGCCCTGGGGTGTCTGGCATGCTGAATCGCCAGGCTCCTTCCAAACTCAGCTTCCTGGACAGCACTGTGGGCTTCTTTGTGTGTCTACGAGAAGCAGGGCCCCAGGCTCCAGATGGCTGGGTGTTGGAGCAGAACTGGAGAGCCAGAGGGACAATTCATTAGAACACAAATGTGTTCTATGGGTCAGATGTGTTCTGGGGGCTCTCACAGGCCCAGAGAGGCAGTTGAACCCCCTACCGTTTTGCCCAGGAGCAGTGTGCATAGAGCACACAAGGTCTCTGAGAGGATGTGCTGGGGAAGGGGGTGGGGGAGCTAAACCTATCGCCTGAAGGCAAGCCACTTCACTTCCTCTCTATGAGCCTCAGTTTCCCCCCATCCAAGAGGAAGGAGACAGAACTAACACTCTCTAAGCAATACAAAGCTCTGGTCCAAAAAGTAAAAACATAAACTTACAGTTATAGTGAGGAGCTGTCATTGTCAGAGTTCTGGAACTGAGCTGGCACTTCACATGCAACATCTCATTAATCTAGTGCTACCCTCTGAGGTGGTGATGACTACTGTCCCACTTTTCAGATAAGGAACTGAGGCTCATGGGGAGTGAAGTCACTTACCCATAATGAGTCCTCAGCTGGTAAGTGACAGAGCTGGGACTTGAACCCGTGGCTTTGGCTGTTGAGCCCAAATGACCAGGAGTGTCCCGCAGCTCTGAGCCCTGCACTGGCCCTTACCCCTACCCCTCAGCTATGCCATGGGTTTGTCCTCCAGGTCAGTCACGGATCTTAGGTTTAGAAGGGACCTGAAAGACTGGCCACCTGGAGCTGTCCCCACCCCACCCTATCACCCCACAAAGCCCTGGCCACCTCCCCTCTGAATGGTTGACCCCGTTGGTCACCTCTTATGGCAGGAAGCACACCGTCTCTTGGGACAGTCATTCCATGTTTGGGCAGCCGGTCACTGGAAAGTGCTTCCCTGTGTAGAGCTGAAACCTGCCTCCCTGAGATTTTTGTCTGTCAGCCCGGGCTCCTCCCTTGGCTCCAGAAAGGACTACTCCCTCTTATACGTATCAGTCCTTCAAATATTTGAGGACATCAATCATGTTCTCCCCTCCAAGGCTGTTATTTCCACAGCACTCTTCACAGGATGAGATTTCAAGCCTCCGTACTCTCCAGCCTGTGCCTTTTCCTGTTCCCCACCCCACCCCCCAACGACAAAAGCCACCACTGCAGGGGTCCAGAGGTCTCTGGGACAGAATGTTCCCTAGCACCAGGGCAGCCCCAGCTCCAGCTGGGCTGTGGGCCCCAGATCCCAGGAGGGTGGAGAAGCAAGAAGGAACAGCATGGCACCTGGGTGGCTGGCAGATGTCAAGGGCTGTGGCTGGAAGGTAGGATGGGGGGCACCTCTGCCAAATGGCTTGATGCCTGTCCACTCCAGAGACGTTTGGCTTGGGTACCCCCACCTCATTTTGGCTCAGTCTGGACAGATATTCCTGCTTCTGGGACTCCTAGTTCCCAGAGAAGACCTTTCCCCATCTCCCCACCAGCCATCTTTCTGGTGCCCTCACTGTCCCAGGGCTGATTCCCTGGCATTGGGAGAAGTTGCCATGTACCCTAGCAACTTGACCCACCTGGATCCTATTTCTTCCCAATGTACCAGGAGCTTATCTGGCTTGGAGCCTGGACCACCAGGCCTGTTCTTCTGAATACCCTCCAGAGGCAGAACCTGGCCCATCTGCCTTCTCCCACCTCCCCACGCCCTGGACGATCCCCTTTCCTCAGATCCCCCCAGCATCTCCTCACTTCCCGCCAGCTCCTGAAAGGGCGCTAAGCAGCTGGACGTGGGTGGTGGCGGACGTGGCACAAGCTGACTCAGATGGCAGAGCTGGCATGGCAGGGTCTACCCAAAGATGGTACCAAAGGGGATGATGGCAGGTCCTATGTGGGGGATAATGGAGGGGCCCAGAGAGGGCAATAATCACACTAGGAGGGTCACTGAGTGGCTCAAGTACTGGAGTAAGACCCAACCTTAAGGTGTGCAGGAAGCTGGACTTGGGTTAGGCAAGGAATGTCCAGGGGGCCCTAAACACTGACAAGTAAGCCTGGAATGTTGGCTTCACTGCCTGATGGGCACCAGCTTCCTCTGTTATACTAGCCTCAAAATGAGCTTGGAGGTCAGCAACCCACCCTCTCTTTCCTCTCCCTGACCCCTACAGTCCGTACACAGAAGCTTCTTTGGAACAAGATGAGGTAGGGGGATGGAAGGAAGCTGTCAAGACCCTGAATTCTCTCCCTGCACACCCCTGCCCTCCTAAGTACTTCCTCCAAAGATTGCCCGGCTCAGCCTGTGTTTTATTGCTGAGTCCTTCACAAGGGGAAGGGGCCAAAGGGTCAGCGCTCCAACTGGCTGGGCACAGAGGGGCCAGGTCAGGTGTGAAATCCCCCTCCTCCCTTGCTCCCTGGAACTCCATGGCTCACACCCTGAGGTGATGGCATTGGAGGGTCCTTGGGCTGGCAGGACGGGTGGAGAGACCTGCCAGGCCCTAGCCTCCCACTCCCCCCACAGCTGAGCTTGCAGTCTGCTGGTTTGCTGAGGCCCCCAAGCCCCTGGGAAACAAGCAGGTGGATTGTGTATGTCTGTCCAGGGCCACTAGAAGGCAACTGAGAACGTCAGGGACATTGGAACCCAGAATGGGGCCCAGTTCCTGGGAACCTCTGCTAGAAAGAAGCTGTCAAATATTCTAAGCAATATCTTCCCAACCCAAAACCTCAATCAGTTCCCAGAAGAGGCTTGGGTCTCTTAGGGGGAGTGAACTCTGTTCTGAGAGGCCAGTCTCATTCTCTTAAGGGAAGAGGTCAAATCTGAAGGCTTAGAGGTGAAAACCCATCCGCTTCCTCTGGTTTAGAGCTGAGGAGCTACCTGGGGTGCCTCAGCCAGAGCCCACGTTGACCCTACCCACTTCTCCCTGGCCACTCCCTTGATAACCTTGACCTTCAATTAAGCTCATATGTTGGGGAGTGGTCAAGACAGAATGAGGAGGAAGGGCATTGAAGATGAGTTAGTTCTACAAGGGCGTGCCACAAATGCCCCCCATTTTTAGTCTTTAGCGCCTCCTCCTCATCTGGATAACAGGAGCAGGATAGGAACAAAATAGCAGGGTGGAAAAGAGAGGGAAGGGGGTCTTGACCCTAACTTTCCACGGGGGGCAGGGAGCGCCTTGACACAGCCCCTTCTTTTCTCCCCAGACCCAACGGTTCAGGTTGTTTCCACGGAACTTCTTGCGGGTCAGTCTGGAGCTCCTAGAACTTGGGGAGTAAACGGACAGATTAGGGGTGGGGGCGTGGAATATGAGTCTGTCTCGTCCCTCCCCTTCAGCGCCACTAGTCTGGGCTCTGCCTGCCTTCACTGGGGAATAATTTATTCATTGTGACTCCCGCAGGAGTAGCAATCATACATAATTACGGTTAATTATGACATTCATTAATTACGATGACTTCTCTTTTTGCTTCTCCCCTCCCCTCTCCGCCTCCTGTCCCGCTCCCGGAGTGGGGGCTGGGGCTGCCTGTCGTTCTGCTCTGGAGCCGCAGCAGCAGTCCCCGGGTGCCCGCCCGCATGGCCCGCGCTGCCGCAGCCCCCAGCGCGGACCCGCAAGCTGCGCACCCCTGGCCGCGGCCTCGCGTCCCTGAGCCTAACCGGGTTGGGAGGAGGGAATGCAGGACTGCAGCGGGTCCGAGAGACATACCCAGAGAGACTCAGAGATAAACGCAGAGAGACGCGGACAGAAATCGGAAGAGACACCAAGACCGAGACAAACAGGTTGTAGAGACATTTTCAGAGAGACACAGGCAAAGAGAGGGACACACCAAGCTACAGAGACTTGACGGACACGGGAGGGGTGCACCTCGCACGCACACACGAGCGCGTACACAGACCCACACCCGCTACACGTCGCTACACACTCCCTCCGCCTGCGCTGCGCCGATTCCCTCCAACAAAGCCGAGTTACAACCTCCCTGGAGGGTCGCGGCAGCGCGGCAGCTCATCACGCGCGCAAGGGCGTGTCGTGCTTGCGTGATGAGGGCTCCTTGTGGCCCCTCATCGCCAACCCACTCGCCCCGGGTGGCTGCGACGAGCCTTAGGGAATCACGCGAGCATCGTCACTCTGACCCCAGGGAACCGAGCCCACAGTGGCGACAGCGTGGGGAGGAGGGCGCGCGGGCCGGAGGCGCACAAAGCAAGGGTCCAGGCCTCGAGCCTCCCAAGTTACCTTGGTTTCCTGGAGGGCAGAGACGGTCCCAAGGCAAGTGTGGGTAGCCGCGTCATCTGGTTCATTCTCCTTCTCGCTCATTTCGGTCATGGTTGGGAAATCGAAGGCGCCGAGACCCGACGGCAGGCCCGCTGGGGGCAGGTTGTGGGCGGTGGGCGTCTCTCTGGGACCCTGACACCCTTTTCCAGAGACTGCCCCCCAATGAACCCCAGCAGGAACCCTCCACGGCAAAGCGACGCTCCACTCCCCGGCGCTGGCGGAGAAAGTTCCCAGGTTGAACAGTGAGGGGAGGTAATTACTCGGGGCCGCAGGAGCGGGACGACCCCGGGAGTGAGGACCGAGGGTCTGCGGAGGATGCTGCTAGGAGCGCGGGGAGGAGAGAAGTGGGGACGCGGGGCTGAGCCGAGGGAGGGAGCTACCGAGCTGTCTGTGTCCGGCCGGCTCCTCTGTCCTCTGCGCCCGCCCCCCATCTCCTTCTCCCTCCCCCCGAGGCTCCAGCCCGGCACCCGGCCGCCCCTCCACCCAGTCCTCGCCTCCCAACTTTGATTTAGGAGGTCGCCTGGTCCCTCCCCTTTCCCCGGCGGCTCCCCAGCGCCGCTATGCAAAGCAGCTTCTCAGCTATTGGCTGCCGCGGTGTCCGGAGGGCGAGCCGGGCGGAGCCTGAGGGGGGCTTGACAAGATGGGGAGGGGCTCCGAGGGTAAAGGAGTGGAGGGAGCAGTTTGACTTCGAACAACCCGGAAAGGGGAATGTAACAAGATTGAGGGAAAGCTCGGGAGATCTGCAAGGGTTTTGTGGAATAAAAGTAAGTTGGCTCTGCAGAAGGATAGCTGAGAGAGATCAAAGTTAGGACTGATAGTGAAGTGGAGAGAGAATGGGAACTCTTCAGCCCCAGTAACTGGAGGTCTCTGCCCTTGAGAGACTCTCCAAATATACACACCCCTGGACTCTGAGGTAGGGGTTTCATCAAGCAGGGAAGGGACATCTTAACATCATATGTCAAAGGCCAGGCCTGACCAACCCCTCCTTTGTGGATAGAAAGCAGGACAGTTGTATTCCTTTCCAGTCTTGGTATCTGGACTTCAGTAAAAAGGGGTCTCACTCCCCACATCCAAGGTCCCCAAACCTCTCCAAAACATAACCCCCTCCTAAAGATCCTGCCACAAATGCAGTTAGATCAGGGTTTGGGAAGAGGGTTCTTAACCTTCAAGGTGTCCTCTGTCCACTTGGCCTGAAGGTACCTCTTCCATAACACAAGTCGTCACCTAACATTCCCCCAATTCTCCCTCCCTCACCTCCAGCCCTCCTTCTTCCTAACTCCTTCTGGCTCTGACCAAAAGGTCTAGCTTCATCTCTTGGTCTGTCCAGGGAAAAAGAGGTAGAATGGGGGTTGAGGGAATCCCTTCCTGGGTGTGGGTAGAGAAACTTCTGGATCTAATCCTCCAGGAGCTTCTCTGCTGTTGGTGATGAGATGGGGGGTGGCACTCAAATCTTCATGTCAGCCCCGGAGGGCAGGCACTGGCCCTTGTGCCCTCCCTGCCACCCGCCCGTGCACGTAGCCATTCATGCAATCTCCCTTCTCTCGAGGATGAGCTCACCACTGGAGCACTGCTCAGGTCACTGTGTCTGGGGATAGAGATTTATTTGCCACTGGCAGAAGTAGGACAAGAGCAGACAGGAGGGCTTGTGGTTGTGGGGGCTTAGTACCCTCCTCCTCCAGATCCACCCGCTGCGGCTGCAGGCTTTCTGAGCGCTAGCTGTCCTGAAAGGAGCTTTGATGTAGCCTGGCCTCAGCCCTCAAACCAGTCTCCCCAAAGGCCTATTCATGACCAGCCTTCTCCCAGTCCCTTCTGAGGGCCACCCTCCTCCCTCTTGCCCAGTCAAGATCAGCCCAACATCCCCTCCTGGGCAACTCAGACTTAAAGGTGCTTGGAGCACCCTGATAGAGTCATCAGACCCTCCATCTGTCCTGGGCTGGAGTAATGAGGGTTTCTTCTATGTTGGAGACTTCACTGGGGGAGGTAGCCCCATTCCCTCACAAAGAGCAGAAGCTTTAGGGCCCAATACCTGTGTAGTCATGAATTAACTGTGTGACCTTAGGTAGGTAACTAAACCTTTCAGAGCCTTGATTTCCTCACCAGCAAAATGGAGATTGTGCCTACCTTACTGCTTGGAGAATGAATGAGATAGTTTCACTTAGCCCAGGGAAGACAAGCAGGGAAAGTTAATTTTCTTATTTCCCTCCGTTCTTCTGGGATCTTTGTCCTTTTTAAATGCTTTCCCTGAGAAGAAACAGCTTCCTTCTAGCATTTTCTTTGGCTGTTTGAGCCTGTAATTTCCTGGGGGAACCGATCCAGAAGGAGACTCTAACTAGACATGAGGAAGAATTCCCAGGGGTATCGGAGCTACCAGTGGTCAAGGAAAGCCAGGGAAGTTGGTGGGCCCAGGGGCTCATCTGGTGTTATCACCCGAAGACTGAGGTGGGGTAAATGTGGCAGAGGCAGGGGGCTGGATCCCATGACCTCTGGATGTCCTTTCAGGCAGGCCTGCAGCCTTCATGTTTCAGAGCAATCTTCCATGAACTAAGTCTGAGTCATTGTCTCAGTGCTGACAACTCCCACTGCAGTGGCTGGGGACAGGGCAGGAGCTGGGCTGGTGTCTCCTGGAGGAGGAACACGGTCCCATCTCAGACTGAGAAGACAGAAATGAGCAGTGGGCAGAGCAAGGAGGAAGGTGCTGCAAGAGGGGAGTGGGCAGCCACACTCAGAAGGGCTGAGAGGTCATAATGGAACCACCAGGGTGTCTTATTAGGAGTGTTGAGTGACGAGAGTGGACACCAGGCTCCTGGGAGCCCGGGGACAGAGGCATGGACCAGAGACTTCACATCTGAATGGGGCACAATGTCTAGAACATTGACCTGGTCCTCCTCTCCAGCCGCACTTTTTTTCCTATTCTATGACCTTGGGTAGAAAGCTGTCCATCTCTGGAGGGACCATGGTTTCCTTCTTTTTAGTTTGGCAGAATTGGACTAGATTAGGTTGAAATGGGGAGTGAGATTAATATGGGGACAAAAATCATATATCTCTTGGTGCTCTTTTGAAGATTAAATGAGTTAATGTATGAAAGAGCTGGACAGAGGAGGTGCACAGTAAATAGTTGTTACTATTATCATTTTTTTAATTTATTTTTTTAGGGGTTCTTATCCTTGGGTTTGCAGGTGAGTTTCAGGGAGTTTACAAACCGCCTGAAGCTGTGTTTGTGCATCTGGAAAGATAAGTTTTCTGGGGAAGAGTCCAGAGCTTTCATCTTCTCCTCAGAGAGTCTAAGATCCCCAAAAGAACAGAACCACTGGCCTGAATGACCCCCAGGAGCCCTCTACTCTGAGAAGTTGTGATTCTCTGATGTGAGGGACTGCTTCTCCATCCATAAGGACTGACCTATTTTCTCCCATAAACACCTTCAGTTTAAGTCCCTCTCTGCTGTGGCCTCTGCCCCCATGGGTTGCCAGGAACAGCCCAAGCTTAAAACATGTGTGGCTGGCCTCTCCCTCCAGCTTTAGAATTGGAGCTCCTGGTGGGGGGCGTCAGTCATGGACGATTCCAAGTCTGGGTTCTCATCTCTCAGCTGGTGAGAAGAGGTCAAGCTCAGTGAGAGGCCTGGCCTTACCCAGCCTCCCGTATCTCCCCCTGCCAGGCCACTCTGGGCCCGCAGAGGCAGATACCACTCTGATGAGTTAAGGCCCATGGCAGGCATCAGTAATTATGATTTTATGGAAATACAGAAGGCTGTTACACAAGTGCCTGACACACTTCCTGACTGTGGCATCTGGGACAGACAGGTCCCCGGGGCTGGACGAGGGCCCCTCCACCCACTGCTCGGACATGGGCATAGAGCCACCCTCCCACTGCCTGCGGCACTATCCCTAACATGCCCTGGGTAAGCTGTTCCCTCTCGCTGTGCTCCAGGCTCCCTGGAGGGGAACAGCGTGGGCTCCAGTGCATGCAGTCCCACCCCCAGGCCCTGCCCAGCTGAGAGTCTGTCCAGGACACCTGTTCTCATTTGGGGGGATAATGGGGTTGGAGATGTTTCCCTCTGCTCCACGAAGAAAACCTCTCTTTCCAGGAAGACATTCACTTCCATTGTCTTTCTTTTCTCCTTGAGGTTGGAGACACAGATGGCTGCAGCCATGTAGGGGTGGGGAGCCTAGTCCCTGACGCCTCCCCCTAGGCCCTGGGCCAGTTTGCTTCCCCGACCCATGTCTCTGATAGGGTCCCACAGCTACTGTTGTCTTTCTTCAGTCCATCCTCGCCCCACCCACAAGGCATCTGTTACCAAGGTAACAGTAATGTCATCACTTTGGGGTGAGCAAAGGGTAGAGCTCAGTGGACTGGGGTGGGGGACAATTAGGGGGTAGAATTTTGGACAGGTGGGCACCAAGGGCCCCCAAACTCTTAAAGGAAGATCTTTTGCTGGAGAGGGGCTCTGGGCACAGACTGGGGTAGTGGAAGGGAGCTGGTGGGAAGAGGGCAGATGAAGTCTGGAAGCAGCTGGATCCTGGTGATAGAGGGGAGGATGACTCTGGCTGACTGTGTGGGGGAGGCGTGAGGTGGGTGATGTTGGTACCGAAGAGATGTTGAAGCAGGGAGGATAGAGCCTGCCTTTAACTCTCCCATCAGGGCCCAGCTTGTTTCCTCCTCCTAGGGAGAGGTGCTCTGGTGGGGAGAGTCTAGCCCCAGCTGAAACAGCACCAGGGAGCCTAGGGCCAGCTGGGTGGTCCCGCTAGCCACAGACTGTGCAGAAGGGAGCACTGGACGCCGTGGGCTGGCAGTTGGGGCGGGGCCTTTGAGAGTGTATATTTGGAACATCTAAACCAGGAGGTCCTACTAAGCAGTGGCTCTGGACTCTGGGGGCACCTGACCCCCGCCCTTGAGCAGGCCTCCCTGTAACCTGACCCAGAGAGTTCCCTAACACGGAAAGTCTCTTTGAGCAGACTTGCTGGAGGGGTGCAACGGGGACAGAGCTGAGTTGACAGAGGCCATCAAGTGGGCTGTCAGGCAGAGGGAACAGCCCTGGCAGAGGCACAGAGGTAAGAAACAGAACAGCCTGCTCTGCAAGCTGCTGGTAAGCAAGAGGAAGAGGGAAGAGCCTAAAAAGGGGCAAACAGCCTTAAATGCTGAGCCGGGAAGCTAGGTTTTCCTGTGCAAAGGGGCTTCTCCTCCTCACGGAGGCATGGGAGGGGCAGGGGAGTAGACAAAGTGGTTCACTCAGAGAACTTGAAGGGAATTGAAAGATGTGGCTCTGTATTGAATGTTTGTACAAGCCTTTTGCATTTGACTCCAAGGATATCCATGTTGGTTTTCCACCAAAACCCAGTTTTAAGCACTAACCATTGTGTGCTACTGATGCCCCAGAAGATGGGTAGTTTCCCAGGGGTTTCCGCAGCCCAGCTTGAACAAGGCACTGAGAGCAGCGGAAGGCAGGGGGATTCTC